CAAGGAGAGGAAAACAAGACAAGTATGTGCCAGATGGTTTTCCTGCCCTCCTATGGCCTGTGGGCCGTAGGTCCCCACCCCGTGCAACACTAACTGAGAGGCCTGTAGTGCGGGTCTGCTCTCCAAAGCTGGGGTTATTTTTCAGATATTATTTCACCTGAAGTTCCAACACTGGCTAAAATATCCTTAAAATTATCTATCTTATAGCTTATGTGAATTTTGCATATATTTTATGAAGAATGTTTGTTTACCATTGAGTGAGACTACTCTTGTAAGAATTTTTTTCTTTCCATTCTCTCTCTTAACGTAAACACACACATTTCTGAGTGAGTACAGATACTTCAATACTTCTGGGTATATGAATACCACATTATTTAAATGGGTTTAAACCATGAAGCTCATTGTTAAAATAGAAATATTATTTCTGGGAAATTTAACAGTTACAGCTACTATGACGCTTACAGGTCATTTACTGTTTTAAATGCCAGTTTTCTAGCTGTGTCTCAAACTAGACAAAGAACAATTGGAGGAGTGTGTATTAAAGTCTTGTCAAAGCGGTGAGACCAAAGGTTAGAAAAGAATGATCATCTACAATGAACTTGGGGGAGAATGTAGTCCAGAATACAATGTATACCATACAACAATAGGAAAAGTGAGGAAAGGGTTGGTTGGGAAGGGAGGTGAGAATGTTGAAAGGGAGGACATTGATCAAGATGTATTATATTCATAAACTTCTATGTTAAGTGGCAACTCTTCTGTATAGCGACCTAAAGATAATTTAAAAAGTAAAAAATACAGATATCAAACTTTTAAATTAAAAAAATGAACTTATTTAAGTCATCACTGACTACAGTATAAAAATTCATAAAGTTCAATAGCATACTTATGCATGTAGTTGGAAATTTTAGCTAAAATTATTAATCCCAAGGTGTCATTTGAATATAACAAGTAGGAAACTCATACAGTTAGTAATAGTGTATCAACATTGGTTCAGTCATTGTAATAAATCAAGTATGAAACCATAAGATGTTAATAATAGGGAAAGCTGAGTGTGGTATATGTGAGAAGTCTGTATAATGTTTATTTTTGAACTTGTTCTAAAGTAAACTGTTTTTGAAAGGCTGATGTCAGGGTGTGCTTCCTTGGCTCGCCTCTACCCACACCTCCAGCTTGGCTTTTGCTGGCTATTTAGGAGTGGGAGTCTCACAGACTTTTGTGTCCAAGCTGGCTTTGAGCCTCAGTCCCCCTCAGCTGCCTCCTCAGCCCCTGAGCAGTTAGGGTTATAGGTGTAAGTCACCACCAGCAGCTAAATTTTTGTTTGTTTTAAACTGAGAAATGCTGTGAACGTATTGGAAATTGAGAAGGGTAGTACCAGCATTTTCACTGATTAGTATCTTTGATGTTCTAGGCAGTAGGAATTTAATTGTGAACAAAATTTGAGCATGAGACTTACAATCAAATGGGAAGAAGTATTATCAACCATTGCCAAAAATACAATCACAATGTAAAATTCATAACGACGGTGATAAAGACTATGAATTGAATGTTCCATTATAGCTCACAGCATTTAACTTGGTCCAGTCTTTGAGTCAGAATAGGTTTTTCTTCATGAAGATATTTGAATTGAGTCAGAAGAATAAGTAGAAATTAGACACACATAAAAGAACAGAAAAAAGTTCTGGGCAAAACTCATTAAATCAGATGTGCTCCATCTAGTCTAGGAAATTGAGCCCTTGGAGAGAAGAAAAAATGATGTGGGAGAAAGCTAGATTGATTGGAAAGATCAGATCGTATGAGTTTTTACAGGCCATATATTAAAGATATCTGTTATCTGAAGGGCAGTGAGATGTTTTAGGTTGCAGGATCAGATTTGGATTTTAAAAAGTATCAATTTGGGCATCTGAATTGGTGAGAGGGCAGGTAGCTAGCTTCAGTAAAACAAATTAGAGAGCTATGGCTAATTCAATAGAGAAATGAACTAGCTGGAAAGCTAGTTCCATAGAGAAATCTATGAAATCTATGACTCCACCAAGTAGATTCGGATGGTAGTAGTGGAAATAGAAAGAAGTAGGGAGATTGGACAGATGCTTTGAAGTGAAATAGAAGGGACTGGGGAAGAATGAGATGTAAAGATGAAAACGAGAGTTGTTCAAATGGATTCTCACTCTGCCCTGGGAATTGAGTTGGGATGAGAAAATTCCGAACTGTAGCATTTGCTAATTTCCACTGTGTAGTATTTTCTTCCTTCCTTCCTTCCTTTCTTTTTTTCTTTCTTTTTTTCTTTTTTGTTGTTGTTGTTTGTGGGGCCTGAACTCTGGGCCTGGGCACTGTCCCTCAGCTCTTCAGCTCAAGGCTAGCGCTCTACCACTTGAGCCACAGCGCCACTTCTGGCTTTTTTCTTTTTGCTTATGTGGTGCTGAGGAATGGAACCCAGGGCCTCATGCATGCAAGGCAAGCGCTCTAACACTGAGTCACTTTCCCAGCCCCCCTGTGTAGTATTTTCTTTTTTTTTTTCCTGTGTAGTATTTTCATCTACCAGTGGTGTAAAAACTGGATGAAAAAATTTCTGGAAGTATAGTAGTTACTCTTATCAGCAAGTGTGACCTATTCACATGTGTTTCTAGAAAAGGACCTGGAGCCAACTCCATTTTGAGCTAGTATGTGTGTAACTGTGATAGGGACAATAACCAGAAAAGAGAAATACAGTGGATAAGTATATTATCAAAGAAACGAAGAGACAGTTGATCCAAGTAGGATGGATTATATAGTGTCAGATGTTTTGGGGTCAACTAAATGAAAATTAAATATAGGTTGGGAATAATAGATTGATGCCAGAACTACACAATAGATATGGGTGATGCAAAAATCACAATAAGTATAGCTAATTCTTTTAACATTTTTGGTAGCAGCTAGGCCACAAAATTGATTACTTTAAAAAAGAACTTGATGTATAATAAAAGAAGAGTTGAACAAAGTAGCTAAAGGGTGGGAAGGTATGGGCAGTGGGCAGAATGTTTGAATCACTGACATTTGTGGTAGAGACCTTTTCTATGGTCATAAAGTCCAGAATGTGACCAAATCATCTATCTAAATCTTAGGTTTTCTTCTACCATCACCTACAAATTCTGTCATTATCCTGTTGATAGTACATATATGGTTTTTAAATATTACAAAGAAGCCCATCATTTCTATTGCTTTTTAGCTATTGTTTTAAAGGAATTGGAAAAGAAATTGAAAGGAAATTGAAAAGGAAAACATTTTGAAAATGCATGGAATAAACTAAGTTATGTAATCACTTGTGCATTGTAATGAAACTATTTTCAAAAAGTGGTCTACTAGCCAGGTGCTGGTGGCTTACACCTGGAGTCCTAGTGACTTAAGAGGCTTGAGATCTGAAGATAGTGGTTCAAAGACAGCCCAGGCAGGAAATGAGACTATGAGACTCTTATCTCCAATTAATTACCAGAAAACTGGAAGTGATGCTGTGGCTCAAAGTGATAGATGGCTAGCCTTGAGTGAAAAAACTCAGGGACAGTGCCCACGTCCTGAGTTCAAGTCCCACAACCAGCACCCCCCCCCCAAAAAAAAAGTAATCCTACTATAAAATGACGTATACTAGAATGTCACTGAGTAGGCTACTATTTTGTACACCATATTTAAAATGGCATTTTTCACTTTCAGAAGGTGAGATGAAACAACTTTTGCAAAACAAGTTGATGTTATAAAAGTGCATAGCATCAAATAGAAGTGGAAAATACAAAAAATTATAAAAGTGCTTGACAGAGTATCTTGATCAATAGTTGCATAAAAAGTGTTATGTGAATTTTACAAGGCAATCACATTAATTTTTGCAGCTGTAACAGGTATGTTTTCTATTCTCCAGTTGGAGAGACTGAGCATATAGAATGTAGAAGAGAGTAAGTAATAGATGTTTATTTCCGGGACCATTCTGCAGATACAGCAGATGCTTTTTATTTTAGCTTAATATTAAAGAAAAGTCTAGCCTGAGTTTAGTATAGCATGTAGACACTCCATATATTAGCTTTATATTGAGCCATATAGTGTAGCCTTTTCTAAAAATTGGAATGATTTTTCTTTTCTTTAGTTTCTAAACCAAATCGTGGCTGTAGATTTGTTCTTAGTGGATCTGCCTCTCCCCTTGCTTGTCTGTATTATGTGGGAAAGCTTCTCTGCTTTGGTTTAGGGTGTTTTGTCTTTTGTTATTTTATTTCCTTTTTCCCTGGCTCCCTCTTCATTTCCCCTTTCAGGAATTTGCCTTCATGAAGTTCATAATTTTAATGACAATAGCTAAATGTTGCCAGATTTTTCAAGTTTAAGATTGTTAAAGTTTACTGCAATTGAGCCCGGCACCAGTGGCTCACACTTGTAATCCTAGCTCAGGAGTCTGAGATCTGAGGATTGCGGTTCAAAGCCAGCCCAGGCAGGAAACTCCGTGAGACTCTTATCTCCAATACACCACCAGAAAACCAGAAGTGGTGCTGTGGCTCAAGCAGTAGAGCGCTTGCCTTGAGCTGAAGAGTGCAGGGACAGCGCCTAGGCCCAGAGTTCAAGCCCCACGACCGACCAACCCCCCCCCCCCCCCCCCACACACAAAAAACTTACTGCAATTGAACCTCTCTGAATTTTTTCCCACATTAGGTTGTGTGGTAGTCTGTATGTAAATTTGTCTTCAGGAAGACTGAATTTTTTCAGTAGTCAGGAGCTCATGTTCTAAAAAAATGTTGATTTAGGATGTGTTGTTGATTGCATGTTTCAGAAATATATTAAAGATTTCATAACTCATCTTTGAAATATCTAAAAGTATTAATAAGAAATTAGCAGACAATTTCTGAGGAAAGCAAAATAGTTCAATGTGATAGGTAGTAGCAGATTTGTTTGTTGCAAATACTTGGAAACTTTTCTTTCATTTCGTATGACTTATACAAGTGTGCGTATACTTTATATGTTAGTGTTAAAAATCTTTTTATTTTTCCTCACAGAATCATAACGAGAGATTCGCCTTCATCGCAGAGTGGTATGATCCAAATGCTTCACTTCTCCGACGTTACGATCTTTTCTTTTACCCAGCGGATGGGTCTGTTGAGATGGTAAATGAACCTTTTTTGCTTCAGATTGGAAAAGGAGAAGGTGGGGCAAAGACAGGAATAGAATTGTCTTTTATACAGCTGTTTTAAAAAACATGTTTATAAGATACATTCTACTGTAATTTGATGTATTTACTATGATACCAAAACAAGATTTTTTGTTCTTTTTTTTTTGTAGACAGAGTCTCACTATATATCTCAGGTTTCCTTGAGATTACATTTCTCCTGCCTTACCCTCTCAAGTGTTGAGATTGTAGACATGTACCACCATGCCTTGTGTGTGTGTGTGTGTGTGTGTGTGTGTGATGTATGTGGTCATGTATGTATGTATGTATGTATGTGTGTGTGTGTATTATACTGGGGCTTATTAAACTCTGAACCTTTCACTCATGCTTGGCATTTTCATGCATACCTAGTGCTCTACCACTTGAGCCCATGCCTCTAGCTTTTGATTTTTGCTGGTTAATTAGAAGTAAGAATCTCTTGGAATTCTCCCCATACTAGATTTGACCTATGATTTTCAGATCTCAGCCTCCTGAATAGCTATGCTTATAGACATGAACCATTGGTGTATGGGCTATGCCTATATTTTGAATATCAGAAATTGAAATAATGTTATTTAGGAAACTGAAGTGGAGCAGGGTATAGTGGTGAATGCCCATATCATCAATAATCAAGGCAGTAGCATAAACCAAAATGGAATTATTGTTGTGGATTAGGTTATAATTGATAGAGAAAGGTTATCATGATCATATATGTCATCATTATTGAAAATTGTCATCTCTGTAAATAGTCAAATTGAAGATCATTGAGCTTTTTGTCCTTTCCTGGTCACACTTTAGCAAGTTTTTCTACTTGGTATTGGACTGTGTGTAAAAGCAGATATTTGGGCAAATGATTCTTTTCTCTGGGATTTTATTTACTGAAAAAGTTGGGCCATAAAAAAAATCTTTCTATTTGGGGATTATGTTTATATTATTATTTATGTTTTAATATAATATTTGTTTTATGTTGTATTTTACATTCTAAATGTTAAAAACAATTGTGTTTCTAGTGGGGCTGGAACTCAGGGCCCTGAGTTCTCGCTGGGCTTTCTAGCTCATGTCTAGTACTCAACACACCTCCACACTGGCATTGTCCTAGTTAGAGAGAGTCTCTTACTTAGGCTTTTCTGCCAGGCTGGCTTCAAATTGCCGTCTTTAGAAACTGGCCTCCTGAATAGCTACAGTTACTGCCATGAGCCAGCCACAGTCAGCGTCAGCAATATACTTTAATAAAAAAGCTATATTATGAATAAGTTACATTAGCAGATACAAATATATAATATAAAAGTTATGACTAGGTATCAGTGGCTCACACCTATAACCCCTGCTATTCAGGAGGCTGAGGTCTGAGGATTGTGCTTCAAAGCAGCCTGGGTAGAAAAGTTGGTGAGAACTAGCTCCAATTAACCACCAAAAAACTGGAAGTAGAGCTTTGCTTAAGTGATAGAGTGCTTGTCTTTAGCAAAACAAAACAAACAACAACAACAAAAAAACACCTCAGGGACAGTGCCTAGACCCTGAATTCAAGCCCGAGGCCTAGCACATGCACAAAACATAACGATTTGTATTGGTAACAAAATATGAACAGAATGGAGCCTATTTTGATAAAGTCAGAATTAAGAACTATTTCTACCTCATAAAGTTAGCATTCTTTATTGGTAAGTTTTTTATTGTGTTTTTTTTTTTTTTCTGTTCTAGCATGACCTAAAGAATCGTCGTACTTTTTTAAAGCGGACTAAATATGATGATCTACATGTGGAAGATTTATTTATAGGCAACAAAGTGAATGTGTTTTCTCGACAACTGGTGTTGGTTGACTATGGGGACCAGTATACATCTCGCCAACTTGGCAGTAGAAAAGAAAAGTAAGAGAATTACTTAATCCTTCTCATGCTTAAATGAATGTTGGAGGCTAGATGTAAGCTAATTTTGTATTTTTCTTTTGTTTTCCTAATGTAGACAATTTTCAATGAAGTCATTTTCATGTTATGGTACATTTACAGTATTTTGGAATAGATTGTGATTTGTTCTTTAGTAGGAATGATTAATTTCTAAAGTATTGGGTTGTTGTTATTTTTATTTTTTCCATCATGGTATTCTAATACACAAGAAAATATTTCATTTTTTTCTTGTATTTGTTAATAGATACTTTATGGACTAAAATGCAGTCTATTTTAGAGAAAATTCTGTGGTTGCTGAGAAGAGAATGTGTATTCCAAAGCTGATGGGTACAATTTTCTATACATTTACTTTTGGGTGCAGTTTTCTATAGATTGTTGTTAAGTCCATTTGCTTAATGGTTTAACTTTGTAGTCTTTTTGTTGCTTGTTTTCTTACGTTGTTTGTTTTGTCTGGATGATGTATCTATTGATGGGAGTTAAGAATTTGGGTTCCCCACTATTCTTGTGTCAGTCTGTCTGTCCCTGTATGTACAGTGGATTTGCTTCATGAAATTCGGCACTCCAGTCAGTGGTGCATGTAAGTCTGTCATCATTCTATGTTCATGGTGTTTTATTCCCTTACTAATTCCTACTAACTTCCTTTCTCTTTTCAAGCTACGACTCAGTCTACTTTGTCTACATTGTTTATGGATATAGTCTCTCTCCTCCCTGCTTTCAGTTTCTACTTTTCACTTTCAATCTTTGTGTGTCTTTGCCAGGGAGTTGAGTATCATGTTGACAACAAATAGATAATGTTTTCAATCCAGTCATCTAACTGTCATCTTTTTACCAGACTTTAAGGTTATTTAAGGTTATTAATGAGAGGTGTTTGCTGACTTGTGTAATTTCATTGGCTTTTTTTCCTGGCTGATTCAAATACTGTTTGAATTATTAAATTTGAATTATTTAATTACTATTCTTTTTTCTTTCTCCTGTCCTATTCTTAGGAATTTGCTGTTTTACTCAGTTGGCCATGTTTGAATCTTTTGTTTTTCTCATATGTTCATCTATTCTGCATTATTCTTTCTTGACTCCTCATAATTGTGACTTCCTTTCTTATACATTGGTATGTAGGATTACTTAAATAGCTTGTGCAGTTTTGGATTAGTGGTCATCATTGCATTAGTTTATGTTTATCTTGGAACATCTTTATTTGTCCATTAATTTTTTTTTTTTTTGTCGGTTGTGGGACTTGAACTCTGGGCCTGAATGCCGTCCCTCAGCTTTTCAACTCAAGGCTAGTGCTTTATCACTTAAGCCACAGCGCCACTTCCGGTTTTCTGAATGGTTTATTAGAAGAGTCTCATGGACTTTCCTGCCCGGGCTGGCTTTGAACCATGATCCTCAGATCTCAGCCTCCTGAGTAGCTAGGGTTATAGGTGAGAGCCATCAGTGCCCAGCTTGTTCATTAATTTTAAAATATAACTGATGAATATAGTAATTTAGGGTAAAGGTTATTTACTTTTAGAACTTGAAATATATCATTCTGCACTTTCTTGGCTTTTAGGATTTCTGTTAAGGAGATTACCAGTGCTCAGGAGTTATAAATACAAACTGTAGAACTTTTTATTTTCAAACTTATTCATTATTATTATTACTATTATTAGTAGTATTATTATTTTACAGAACATTAGCCCTGATTAAACCTGATGCAGTACCCAAGGCTGGAGAAATAATTGAAATGATAAATAAAGCTGGATTTACTATAACCAAACTCAAAATGATGAAACTTTCAAGGTAATTTGTTGATAATTTTCAGTTATATAATGTCTGATTCACTTAAAAAATTTCTTTCCATCGCTTTTTAAAACTAAGAAAAAAAGAAAAAGAAAAACCTCTTAGTGAATAGCAAAGTAGACAGGAGTATAATGAGTTTGAGAGCAGCTGGGCCTATATAGTAAGACCCTCTTAGTTAAAGTATTATTTTTAAAAGTGTTTTTTTTTCTTTCTTCCTATTGTTTCTAATATATTTTTAAGGTACCACGTTTGTATGCCCCTCCCCCACAGTATAACCCCTGTTTTCACTGCATTTGATGTTGGTATAATTTAGGGATTAAATAGGGATACAGATTGACCTATTGCAACAATGAGATGCACAAGATGCTCTGTGTAAAACTGAACTTTACAATTTAGGTGGGGGTGGGGGGATGTAGTTGTGGAGGGGAGGGAAGGGATGATAGGGAAAAAACAAAGGAGTTGACAACAATGCTTGGTAATAAATTATCTCATTATCTTGCTCATGTGATTGTAACCCCTCTGTACAGTATTTTCACAATAAAAAACTTATTTAAAAATAATTGATGTTTAAATATCCTTAACATGCTGTGAACTCTGTTTAAAACATTTTTTTTGTCAGATATATTGGGGGCTTGGTCACTGTCCCTGAGCTCTTTTTGCTTAAGGCTAGCACTCTATCGCTTCAAGCTACAACACTACTTGCAGTTTTCTGGTGGTTAATTGGAGATAAGAGTCTCACAAACTTTCCTGCCTGGGCTGGCTTTGAATCTCAGTTCTCAGATCTCAGCCCCTCCAGAATAGGTAGGATGACAGGCATGAGCCACCACTGTCCAGTTTCAATTTAAATTCTTTAAGAAAAGTGACACAGGCATCTGATTTGCTTAAAAAATTTATCTTCTTTACAGTTTTCAGAGTATAAGTTTAACATGAATTATCCTTAAATTGTCTTTATAGTTCTTTAGTAGAAATATAAATTTGAAAAATGAATTCCTGTTAGCGTTAATAGAATTAGTGACCATAACTCTGAATTCTGATTAGTTCCATGTTCTTTCCTTGATGTCAAATAAAATATTAGGTTTTAATCTATTAATAACTAATAAGAATACATTAATATGACTGGAAACAAAGTTCACAAGACCCCATCTCAGCCAATCACTAAGTGTGGGTGTGATGGCTTGTGCCTGTCCTCTAGTTCAGTTGGAGCTTGGGGTTGGGAGGATTGCTGTTGTAGACCAACCTGGACAGAAAGTCCTCACGACTCCCATCTCAGGAGAAGAAGCTGGGCATGATAGTGCATACCTGCTATTCTATGATAAGAAGCATGAAATAGGCAGATCCTGGTCCTGGTCTGGGCTCTGGCAAAAAGTGAGACCCTATTGAAACAGAAAAACCATTATTAAAAAAGGCCTGGGGATATGACCCAAACATAGCACACCTGCCTGGCAAGTGAAAGCCCCGAGTTCAAATCCAGTACCACCAACAAAGCTGAACAATCCCAGACAAAAACATCAAGGTGCCTTGTTTATATGAAGCACCTTTTAAAAATTCAAGTGTACTGAGCTTCACTTTGGTGCAGTCAAGCTAAGAATGATAGTAAAACCAAGAGGTTAAACTCCTACGTTAAAAACCTGCAGAAAAAGTAAAAAAATTTTGAGTTGGAAGATGACTTTCCATTCTTTGATACAACTTAGGGGGTTTAACAAATGTTGGCCAAATATTAGGTTTTGTTTCTAGAGCATTGAAGATGCTGGTAGAAAGGAAATGGATGAAATAGTATAAGTGGAAAAATAGTATAAGTGGATAAAATAGTATAAGTGGAAAAATAAATACTGCCTCTTATCTTCATTTAAATTTTATATCTCAAAATAGATATGACTCAAGAGGGAGTCAAAGCATTTCACACACAGGATGCAATGCTTTAGAGAAATCTCTCTGTGTGCAGCAGTGACAACTAGAAGGGAAGGAGGCCAGAGGTTGGGGGAAGGTAAAAAGATAATGGAGCAGTTCAAGTGTAATGACAGTGACTTAGGCTAGACTAGGAGCTGTGAATACTTACAGTTGATTTGACATTTAGCCCTGGTGCTTACCAGAAATAAGGGCACCATATGGTCCAGTGTTGTTTTTTTTTAATCTCCAGTCCTATCTATTTAACCAAAGTCACATAGTTTCTTATGTTTCTAGGTAGTAGTACATAGATAAGCATGACATGTAGAGAAACTTTGCTTTTATATAATAGCTGTAGAAAATTATTTATAAGTTGTAAAAAAATAATGTACCTGTAATCTCTCAGTGTAACATTCCAAATAAACTAGAAGAAGAAAAATATAGATCTAACTCATATTTGTAAATTATTTACCATAAAGAGGTATTTGGTGAAAAAATCATGTTAATTCACATACAAATGAGACAGAAATTTTTGTATTTTATCTTTATTCTATTTTATTTATATAGTCTAAAATACTCATTGCTTTCATGATTCTTAACCATTGTCATTATGATTATTTTATAGGAAAGAAGGAAGCGATTTTCATGTAGACCACCAAGGAAGGCCCTTGTATAGGTAGGTACTTATTCTGGGGGACAGTGGTAGGTAAGGCAGGATATCCTAGAAAACTAAGGAGTTATAGCCTTATAATTCAGAACTTTATTGCCTGACAATAATCTGTCAATAGGGCCAAAATAATGACTTGCAACTGCACAGAAAACTTTTTAAAGAACTTTTTCTCTGTAATCTTATTGGATAAGATAGATAGTGCATCACTTCATGTTTCAATCTTGAACCAGAAGCAAGCTCTTTTTTTTCAGAGAGGCCCTGCTCTCTCTTTAGTCTGGGTGGACTTTCTTTTAAAGGCACTCCATCACTGATTAACATTATATGGGGATGATATCACTTATTTCACAGCAAATGCCCTTACTACCAGTGCACATGTAGAAATGAAAAATAACATAAGCTCTTGCTTTTTATTTTCTGGGTAACTATTAGTCAGTCTTGGATTTTTAATCAAGAGCCCCTAATTTAATATAGTAATAACCTAGAGTCGCCTTTCTACCAATAAATGGATATTTCTTTAGTGTTTGTTGATAGCCCTTCTCTGTCACTAAATCAGTTTGATTGAAAGTTCTTTGTCATTCCTTGAATCCTAGTTATAGATTAAAAGCACTAATTCTTACTGGAAATGTTACAAGATGCTCATACTACAATGTATATTATAAAATCTTCCCTTGACTGAAGTCATAAACCATATGGAAATAAAAGGAAAATCTTCCTGTTCTTCAGAACACTGTGAAATCCTCGTTATATATTTTAAGCCAATTAAATATTTCATTTCTTTTCCAAAACCACAGTGATTGTTTTTACTTCAGTCATTATCTATTTGGCATTCCTTCTATAGTGATTTTTGCAGTGGACTGGATCACTATAAGACATTTTTGAAAATCTTATACTGATCATATAAACTTTACTATGTCCAATAGTTTTGAAAGTCTACTCATGTCTCTGTTAAAATACTCAAATATAAATATACCACATTGCCAAGAGAAATGTCCAGGCAACATTTCCAAAGGAAAAGAAGCAAATCGGTCTTTTACTGTTTTGTAGTGAGCTGATCCAGTTTATTACAAGCGGGCCTGTGATTGCCATGGAAGTTTTAAGAGATGATGCTATCTCTGAATGGAAAAGACTCCTTGGGCCTGCCAACTCTGAGGTGGCACGTGCAGATGCCCCAGGAAGCATCCGAGCCCTCTACGGAGCAGACAGCATAAGAAATGCGGCTCATGGCCCCGATTCTTTTGCTTCCGCTGCCAGAGTAAGGTGTTTTAAATATGTTTTACTTCCATTTTCATTTCTTCAAATATTTTATGTCAAAAGAAAGCATTTCTATCACTGGTTACTTTGGATGAGATCAGAGAGCTGAGCTAGTGTGCTAGGAATACCTTTTGACATCTTGTCTCTTGGTTCAGCGATACTTATTTCTGATCTGGTAGACAGGTCACGGTCAAGATTGCTTTTTAACAATTAAAACACTTGTATTCCTATTCCTTGCTGTGAAAAACTTAGATTACTAAGACTCACAAATGTTTGAATTGTTGAATTTGTGTAAGAATACTAGTGTGAGTTTGGTAACTATTTTAAAAAGAAGGCGTCATTTTATAACCTTTCTTTGCTTCAGACCAAACCTTGTTAGCTAGGAATCAAGAAGGAATACTGGGGTTGGAAAATGCAGCAGGTTAGAAGCAGCAATGACTTCACCAGAATTTGAGATGTATCATCTAAGCAGCCCCAACAGCTTCCCCCAGACCTTCAGTCTCTGTTAGTTATTCTCTGATCTTGCTTTCCCTTTTATATTCAAATTTCTCTGTGACTAGACTATATTCGCTATCTCCCCTTGACTACTCACTGGGAGAGTCTATAGAACTTGGCACACCAAAACTGTTTTGGCCAAGACATCCCATGTGTGCTCAATTTTAAAATCGAAGGAAAAATGTTCATCTCTTATTTTACTGTATGCCTAGTTACATTTGACAACTTTGAATAGGAATAGTCCACCTCTGTTAATTCTATGATACCTCACTAGTCTTTGAACATGGAATTCTCTTTTCCCCTGTCTGACACTGGGACTTGAACTCACTATCTACCACTTGCTTTCACTCATTGGCTAACTTTCTACCTCCTGAGCCACACCTCCAATCTGCTTGGAGTTCATCTGATAATTAAATTATGTGCAAAGCACTGTTGGAGAAACTGAGAGTCAGGGAATTTAATCTTCCTTGTCCAAATGAGCACTGGAGCCCAGGACTCCTCTATATTATTTATTTAAAAATTATTATGGACAAATAAGTTTTTAATTGGCCACCATTTTGTAATAATTTTATCATTATAATTAAAGATATTAACACAGATTTCTTAAATGCTCTGTTGAAGTTACCATAGCATCTTGTTATGGTGAAAGTGTATGAAGCAGCACAGTCATATATTTTTTTAATTTGCGGAAGAAAATATACTTAAAACTTACCAAATTGTGAGTAAATATACTTCCTTTCATTAGAAAATTTAAGGAAACATGAAAAACTTAGAGTGATAGCAGGAACCCTTGCTAGGAGAGCAATTTTATGCAACATGCATTAGTGCCTCAAATTACAAAAGACCACAGGGGGTTTCTGAATGTGTATATTGTGTGAGGAATTGGAATTGTTTACCATAACAATGACCTTGCAAATTATCTTGAAAATAATAGCATGGGTTAATGGATAGGACAGATAGGACAAAAGATGGAGAAAAAGCAAAAGCAAAGGTACAATGCTAACACATAGAATTATTCACTTTTGCTAAGAAGATATATTTAATTAAAATATCTAGGCTCTTTTTCTTAGTAATTATTCGCTCAGCATATATAATTGGGTAGTTGGAAAATTGATAGTTCTATTTTTAATTATTACGTAAGAAAAGAAGTTGAACAAAAATTAATTAGAGTTAATATGAAAAAAAAAGGTAATTGGCCAGATAATTGGCTAACTAGTTTGCTAAAGTGGAGGTGGATAATGTGGCATTAGCTTTGGAAAGGGAGAGAATACAGAAGCAGTTCAAGTTGTTGGGAGTTATAATGACCTGAATTTAAATTGTGACTCTGTACTTGCTACCTTGTATTACTACCTTATTACTAAAGCTCTCTGGGTCTCATTTTCTCATGTGTTCTATGGTTACATTTCCTTTTATCAGCACATGCAGAAATTGTAAGTCTCTAAATTTCATTCATCCAAAGTACTTCTTGAGAAGCCGTTAATGAATAAAATGAAGTCTATATACCTCTTCTGATGGGAGAAATAGACACAGGGCATTCTGGGTGCTAAATGTTCTAATGGAAATGAAGCAGAGAAAGAGGAGAGAAAAATGCAAGGATGGAAGAAGATGTTCTTCTAAGCACAAGATGTTCAGGACATCTTTTCAATCTCTGGTTTGAGCATAGATCTAAAGTAAATGAGAAAAAACATCATAAATGTATCTGTAGAAAGAACATTCCAGAAAGAAAGAGAACAACTCATGAGTTTGAAATGGGAACGTGTTTTCTGTGTTCAGAGCAGTGGGAGTTGGAAAAGGCCAGCAGTACTGGGGCAAAATCAGAAGTGGTAGAAATGTCAGAGGTATAGACAGCAAGCTACACCTTATAAGACCTTGTAATATAAGACTTGAAAATTCATTCCAAACAAGATGGGAAACTGTGAAGTTTCTGTGTCAAGGAATGACAGGATCTAATGGTTTTCCAAGTTTTATTCTGATTGCTGTATCAATACTAGATCAGACAAGGTCCGGATGACTCCCCTGCTGTCAGGAAAGGGTTGGTCTGGGGGGACAAGAGGGAAGGCGGTTCAGTTCTTGTGATACTGCAAGGGATTTCAAGAATTGTATTCTTGTAATTGTATTCTTCCCCATACCCAGATGTCTACAAATTTAAGATAAGAGATCATATATGCTCAAGTCATCTTTTTATCTTCTGTATTTAGGAAATGGAGTTATTTTTTCCTTCAAGTGGAGGATGCAGGCCCGCAAACACTGCTAAGTTTACCAATTGTACCTGCTGTATTGTTAAACCCCATGCTATCAGTGAAGGTAAGAGAATTAACCTTTTAAATACAACATACCCAGTTTATTTTGTTAATAGCTTAACTTACTTTGTTAATGTCTGTTTTCCTGTTGTATTTTGCATGATAAAATTAGTGTACTTTTCATTTTTCTTTGAAGGCATAGAATAAAGCCGACTGATTATAAGAGAGAATCTGTCTCAATCTCAGTCTGTGTTTTTGTGTCTGCATTTCTAGAAGGTATCCGTGGGTTGTGTGGCTCAGTCATGCTCACTCATCCTGGCAACAGATCTTGATTCCTTGACTTTTACTCTCCTATCATTCATTAATTCAATTGCATAGCACTTGTAATACACAAATTAAACAATATTTATTACCCCAGACTATACCCTTCCTGAGAAAGTTGTAGAAAATCTCTTATCTCTCCTGTCTCCTCCCCTCCCCTCCCCTGTCCTCCCCTCCCCTCTCCTTTCCTCCCCTCTCCTGTCCTCCCCTCTTCTCCCTGTTCCACTCCACTCCGCTCCTCTCCTCCCCTCTCCCCAGGCTTGAACCTAGAAGTAAACTCACTGGGTAGTACCCATGCAGTTATAAATGAATTAACTGGTATATAGGCTCTATGAAGAATGTAAGTGTAAATTCTTTAGAAAGACTAAGTCATAGCTCAACAAAATACGTACCAGGAAATGGGTACTTACAAGGTGTGAGGGGAGCACTAGGCTGGGGAATAGTGGAAAACCTTTTATTTTTTTGCCTATATATTTCATATTTCCTAAATGTTTTATAATGTGCATTATTTTGTACAGGTAAAGTCCCCCTCTAAGATTAAAAAATCAGCTATGTATGTAAAGAAAAATGTGACTTATATTTAAGGAATCAAATAAAATGAATAATTAGAATAAAAACTAGTTATGCATCTTAATAATTATACACGTAATGATAACTAGGAATCTGGTAAAAAAAATATGGTGATGTAAAAATAACCAGTTTGGGGGCTGGCTCAGTGGTAGAGTGTTTGCCTTGCATGCCTGGGTTCGATTCCTCAGCACCACATAAGCAGAAAAAGCTGGAAGTGGTGCTGTGGCTCAAGTGGTAGAGCGTGAGCTTTGAGCTGAAGAGCTGAGGGGCAGCGCCCAGGCCCAGAGTTCAGGCCCATGACCTACAAAAAACAAGCAAACAATCAAAAAAAACAGTTTTGTTATATATAATTTTTATATTTTTACACATTCAAACCATTTTAGATCAGAGCCTTTGATCAAACCTAGAGTTGTGCATAATAGACAAGTAATCTACCACAAAGCTGTGCCCCACACTGAACCTTTAAGATACTAGGATATATAAATTCCTTAGAGCAAAAGAAAATTTGTAAAAGATAGCAGTATAAACTTGAGCATCCTACTTATTAAAAAACATCTTCCTTCTAAACCTGGATAGCAGTATACTTTAAGACCATTTTTAAAACATATAATTAACCCAATCCTCATTCAACTGTGGCAATAATGAAATGAAGTTTGAAGTCTCATGCTGAATTTATGATTGATTCATTTGTCCCCTTCTCAATTGCTGCTTGGTTTGTGTTTGTCTTTTTCTAGTCCATATCCTAGTATATTTACTTTTGCCTGTAGCCTAATCTAGTGCTAAAGGAAGAGATTTGGAAGGAGTTTTTGATAAGAGAGTATACCTGAAATGGAATCTGTTGATAGCTGATTTCCCTAAAATGGACAAATAGCCAGTTACCTAGCAAAGCTAAGTTAACTGTGTACTATAAGTAAGACTGTGCCAGAAGGAGGTCCTAGGTAAATGGAGAGTCAGGTTGCTTCCCTAAAGAGGTTGCTGGTGGGATTTTCAGTAGAGTGATCTGATGGATATCAAGGAGGGTACAAAGTCCTGGAAACCACAGTCCAGGTAGTGGAAACAGTGAGTCAGGATCTTATTAAGTCTCCTAAATACACAGTTGTTGGATAAGTGAGTGGCTGGGTTTGGTAAGTGAGTAGCCTTTTGTTGGGATTAAAAGATTTGGAGAAAGTCTTTGGGGGCAAACAATGAAGTTATTTACTGATTTGTGTCTTTCTGGACAAGAATTTCTGGTCTTGCTTGTGTAGGCAGAGTTGGCTTTCAGTCCTGAACTGAATGCATGGTAGTTCAGTGGGTTTCACTTTTCACCTCAAAGAGAACTGAAAAAAGCAAGAGAGTCAGCTTTGGAGATCAGTGGTGGGAAAATAGAGTACACGTGAGGCATTTGCGGTCTTTCTATAGACAGACTGAAATTTATATTGTCATTTTGGACTGAGTCTTTTTAAAAAAGAAGGAGAAACTATGTGCATGTCCTCATGCTTGCTTTTTTTTAATTTCAAAATTATTCAGTATGTTTGTATGTCCTCAGTATTGCATATATCTACTTTAAGACCATTTATAAAATGAATTGTTTCTAATCTAATTATAAAATGAATTGTTTCTAATCTAAATTAAGCTATTTAGACTTGAATTCTGATTCTGAAACTTACTAGCCATGGGATATTGGATAAATTATTTCACCTTTTTTTATCTATTTGTAGACTATTTGTTTCCATATTTGTAAAATGAGGATAAAAATATATTGTCCTCATGGAGTGAATATTAAATGCATGTGTATGTAAAGGATACTGGGTTAGTACCTAGCACTCAGTTAGGTGCTCTATAAGTGTTAGCCATTATAGCCATTATTACAATTGCTTGGCTGTCCTACTACAACTACTCTGCGATTAGTATCATTAGCTTTCAATTTTTAAACAAAATTGATAACCTACTAATAAAGCAATAGTTTAAAATGCTAATAAAATCCATATCCATGGATAAAAAGAAAATCCTCATTATTACATAAGTGAAAAAGTACTATACTAGTTTCTTCAGCTAAAGCCTAGGTCTAAAATTTGTGAACTAGGATTATTGCTGGTATTACAAATATGCTCAGCTTTTATGCTCTTTTCCAGTAGTATGATTTTGAACTCAGGGCCAGTATTTTACCACTTGTGTTATGCCTTCAGCCTTAGAAAATTATATTCTCTATGTCAGTAGTATATTTTGGTTGTGAAAATATTGTTTTACATGGAAAATATTTTATGATATAACAAAATGTATATTATATTATATTTATGATATATTATATAATGATATATAGTATTTCACCTTATCCTCATTTTTTGTGTATGTTAAAGGATACCATATCTTTGTATCACACTTACCTTTGTCTTTACCTTAAAAGATACCTAACTTTTAAAAAAAGGCATCAGTATATTTACTATAAAATTTTCCAGTAAGAATAGTGACATTATTGGGTCAACAATAGTAAAACCTCATTGAGGGAGTCTGAATTCAAGATTGAAATATTAACAGATAGGAGCAGATTCAGTAAGGTCTGTGGGTATTGGCATGGCTTCAGGCACATTGTTAGAAAAGTCTCTTATTTTTGTGTACAATTTTTTTATTGTCAAGGTGATGTACAGAGGGGTTACAGTTGCATGACTAAGGTAATAAGTACATTTCTTGTCAAACTTGTTACCCCTTCCCTCATTTTTCTCCTCCTCCTTTTTAACTTTTAGGACTACTTTCTAATGTATGTCTTATATTCACAGTGGCAGACTGGTTTCTTTATCTTGCTATGGCTCCTCCCAGTCCTCCTGCCCCCTCCTTTCTTTTTTTAAAATTGTTATTGTATATTGATATACAGAGGGGTCTCAGTACATGAATCAGATACAATCAGTACAATTCCTTTTGAACCAAGTCTCCCCTTCGCACTCTCTCCTAGTCTTTCCCTCCCATCCCTACTCACATAGTGTCTAGTGAGTATCACTGTTGTATTTGTTCATCCTTGTTCTACTTTTTATGTGCCCTCCCTTACCATCCCAAATACAAACAAACAAGACAAAAGGAAAAGAAGACAAAAACAGCAACAATGCCAACTAAAGAATGTCTCTTGTTTCCTTTTCTTGGAGTTTATGTCATAGAATATTATTTTATATGATCACCTGTCCATAGTCATTGAGCCTTAGTATACCGTATAGCCTCCTTCGGCCTCTGTATGTTTATGAGTAGGTTCCTATGTAATTTATCATGTTCCACTGTTATTTACTTATTTTAGTCATTCAATATGTTGTAGTTTTTTTTTTGGGTCCAGTCATGGGGCCTGAACTCTGGGCCTGGGTGCTGTCCCTCAGCTCTTCAGCTCAAGCCTAATGCTCTACCACTTGAGCCACAGCGCCACTTCCAGCTTTTTTCTTTTTGCTTATGTGGTACTGAGGAACCAAACCCAGGGCCTCATGCATGCAAGGCAAGTGCTCTACCACTGAGCCACCTTCTCAGCCCCATGACTTCTTGATTGATTGTTGGATGAAGGATTAAATTCATTCTTAGCTTAATTATGCGCTTTTATGATAATGGTTTGTCTATTAAAGACCAAACAATGGAAAGTCACTGTATCTTTTATCTTTTTTTTTTTTTTTGTCGGTTGGGGGGCTTGAACTCTGGGCCTGGGCGCTGTCCCTCAGCTCTTCAGCTCAAGGCGAGCGCTCTACCACTTGAGCTACAGAGCCACTTCCGGTTTTCTGGTGGTTTATTGGAGATAGGAGTCTCACGGTCTCTCCTGCCCGGGCTGGCTTTGAACCGCGATCCTCAGATCTCAGCCTCCTGAGTAGCTAGGATTACAGGCGTGAGCCACCAGCGCCCGGCAGTGTCTTTTATCTTTTAATATCAGAATGTACTCTTCACACTTGATTGAAATAAAAGAACACCTGTTGCTAGGCAGCCAAAGCCCAGGATCTAGCAACCATGATGTTTACATCAGTTACCTTAGGGTTTAATGATGTGTTGTAATGATGTAGTATACACGATCTATCCTTTGACTGGATTAGAAGAAACAGAAGCTAGACAGAGCCATGGGAAAGAGCTCAATGAAGTTTTACTGCACTTGGCAAAGATGATTGTAATGTGTAATGTTGGGAATAGCTTACACTTCTTTGATATTTCTCCTCTGTGTGCCCTTGGAAACATTTCCTGATCTCCATAAAGATTTTTTTTTTAGTGTGTGTCACTAGGCACTGAACATAGGGCCTCATGTATACCATTGTATATGTTATTGCCTCAAATGCTTATCAGTCTTTGTCTCTAAACATGCTATCTAATGTTTTTTTATCCAAATAATTATTTCCCCCACTTTTTTTTTTTTGTCGATTGTGAGACTTGAACTCTGGGCCTGGCGCTGTCCCTGAGCTTTTCAGCTCAAGGCAAGCCATGAACTCATGATGTTAACAAATTATTTTTTTGTAATGCAATTTAAATAAGTCCTAAGTATAGCTAAAGTAACTTATGGATCCATTATATAGTATCCAATGAATACTATACAAGGTAGTAATATTAATATGATAAGAAATATTGTTCAAAACCAGCTCAAAATGACTAGGGTTCAGATTTGATTTAGGCATGTGCCTGTTCTATAACATTGACTCAGTTAGCTGCTGTTTTTAAATCTTCAAACTTCTTGGAAACCTTTGTTTTCACAGCTAAATCAGTTGGCCTTCTCTTGGTACAATTGTGATATTTGAGAAACATATCCATCTACCTTTCTTTTTCTCCTCCATCCCTCAGCCTGCTGCAGTTAAAATAGCACTAATTAGCTACAGTAAGTTAGTAAAATAAAAACGTATATAAAGCACTATATACGTGGTAATATCTAAGTGAACTTTCGGATGACTCAATACCATGAGAGAGCAGAAAAAAAACAAGTCTTAACTGCTTTGCAAAAATGAATAGATAAATAAAAGAACTTAGATTTTTATAAGAAATCAATAGGATCTTTAAGCCAACCCTACAGTTTTAGAATAGGCAGACCCCATTTTAAAAACCACTCATCTGTGAGATAAAGCTCAAATTCCTCATGCTGGCATTTAAGACCTTCATTAGTTTGGATTAAGTCTCTTGTCTTTTTCTGTTTTGCTTTTCTTTTCTGACTTGCTTCTCGCTGCCCTGTAGCCATACACACACTTTCCCAGGGCTGTGTCTTTTCTCCTGCCCTTATGTGGACCTATCATCTTGCTATGGTGTCAGGCACCTTTCAGCTTTCATTCTCCCTTGAAGTTTCTGTCTACCTTTTTATAATTTCATTTTTCTCCTTCTTAGAACTGCTCTTTGATTTCCTGCTGTGGCCACTGTTTTGACATTTCCTTTTTAACAGTTATTTTAAAATGACTTATTTTTCATATTTTTAAATCACTAGTCTTCTGTGGCCTTTTAGGCAAAAATAGTATCTTAAAAGATTTTTTGTTATCTTCAGGGCTGTCACTGATAGTGTTGAAGCATTCACTGAAGGGTGTCTAAGGATTAATTGTAATTCTCGTTATTCCAAATTTACTCTTTCTTTTAAAAAGAACGTGCTTCTTATAGAGTGTAAGCAAAATAATTTGACATTGAAGCGTGGTAGTTCTAGGAAACTAAAATGGTTTAAATATCTTACCTTATGTCCATTTATTTTTCATTTTCAGGACTGTTGGGAAAAATCTTGATGAGTATTCGAGATGGAGGCTTTGAAGTTTCAGCTATGCAGATGGTACATAGTTTGCAATGACCCACGAGCCATAATTAATTAGAATTTCTTTTAAATAATGTCTTTTAAAATGTTTTAAACTCAGTATTCAAGTGTACTTATGAACTCAATGTTTCAAAAATAATGGACTCACATACTGAATTCAATAACTATATTTAACTGAGAAAAGGAAAATTTACCTTATATACTCATTTAAGTTTGCAAGGGAAGTTTGTAAATTTCTTAGAACTTCAGTCCAAAACTTTTAGTCCTAATAAGTAAGTTTTTACAAGTGAAACATAGATTCAAAGTACAGAATGTCAGGGGTTTTTCTCTTTTCCGCATTTTTAACTAGTTGATAATGATGGAAGGGAATCAGTTCACTTATTTCGCCTTGATCTGGTGGTACTGGGTTCTAGACTCTTCCTTTGGAGTCAGTATACTTCAGATCCTCTCTGTCTGGGCACCTCCTTCACTGGGTCTCAAGCCTATATACTTGCTCAGAATTTCCCTGCTTATACACCCCCAGGATGCCCTTAGCTGAAAAAAAACCCAGCAGTTCACATTTTGTCAAGAAAGTGTATAGTGTATAGTGTTATAATACAATGACACATGTTCATATTTTATTTCAAATTGGTTTGCTTTTCACCCATTTCAAATAGTGAAATGTTACTTGTGGATAATTAAAAATTATCTATTTGCATTATTAACAATAAACAATTATAACAAATTAATAAGAATTAACCATGTCAAATATTAGTATTCAAAAAATGGGCTTTTGCAGAGTAATTATATATAAAACATAGCAGCCAATTTCAGTTTACTTTGCTCTGTAACAATGTACATATGAACTTGGAGCCTACCATTTCTTTTTTATGGGAAGATACTTACGTGAAGTCTTTTGATTTCTTGAGGTCCAGTAACTGCTACACCACACGAATCCAACCCAAGAGTAATGTAATGGCTTCAGACAAATGATCATTGAGAAGTTCTTGTCATTTTTAGTAGAGTTGCATGTTCCATTAACAATACATAGGATGAAGAGACACATTTTTCAGCCAATATCAAAGCCAAAAGAAAATACAAACATTCAGATCATTTGTGACAAGGATCTTATGCAAATATTTTAGATGCCATACTTTCAGGAAAACAAAAATGAAGGTGTATTTGGATTTTACAGTATCTATGCTAACTGGAAATGTACAAGTAGTCAGGTGGAATTATGTTGAGTGTTGCAAATCGGTTCATCCAACATTAAGCACCCCACTATGTGCATAGCACTGTGCTAATGTTTTATAAGTCAAGTATTCGTGTCTTTATCAAGCATTACCTTAGTGTGAGGTAAAAATAAATTAACGTCAGTTCATTAGTTTGCCTGTGATAAGTTTGTGATGCCGCGCCAGTTGGCTTCCCTGGGCCATGTAACAAGCTTCTGCACTCCCTCATTCATTCATGCACACAGCTGCACATACTGTGCGCCAGGCAATGTGCTAGTCACTGAAATACCATGATTTGGTATATGTTTCAGGAATGCAAATTTATCATATAACCTATGCAGGACAACTAGAAAGGCACATTATTGTTCTAAAATGAGGTCCAAAGCAAAGTACAGATGTTTTTATTGGTCATACGACACCAGAGTCCAGTTCTTATATTGAATGTGGGTACTAACTTTGAAAGTTTCATGTTGTAGTTAAAAAGAGCCTAGATCGTTTTTGGTCTCATAGGTCTATTCTTTGGAGCATGACACTCCATATAAGCCATTCTACATGTAGGTTTGTAAACTAAACCTGGATATAAAAAGAACCAAAAACAAAGGCAGTTTATAATGTCATGTACTTCAAATACTATTCCGGCCAAGTAAAATGAATACATAGTTAATTCATGACTGACTCACACATTTTTCAAAGCTCTAACCCTACCCCAAACTCATATAATTCTAATTTGCCTTATATAAAAGTTGCACACAATGCAGAGGGCAGAATTTGGCCCTGAAACCTTCCATGGAATAGTACAAGTGATTGGTCCTTCTACTCCAAGTAGAATCTGAGAATTAGAACTCTGCATCTCCTATGAGGATACTGGCACCTAGGAGAAATGGCCTTTTAAGTCCCATCAGCCAGGAGTCTCTTTAGGTGCCATAGCAGTTATTTTATTATTTTTAAAAGATTCTTTATTGTAAAAATACTTTACAGAGGGGTTACAGTTACATAAGCAAGGTAATGAGTACATTTCCTATCAAGCATTGTTACCTCCTCCTTTGTTTTTCCCCTACTGTTTTGGTCAAGGACCAAGGGCGAACCAATGCAACAGCAATACCCACAATATGCTGGAAATGAACTGTACAACTTGGGGTGGAGATTGAGGGGGAGGGGAAAACAATGTTTTACAAGAAATGTGCTCACTTCCTTAGGTATGGAACTGTAACCCCTCTGTACATCACCTTGACAATAAAATTAAATTAAAAAATCCTTTATAATATAGGTAAGGTTTTCCAAATATCAGAAGATGTAAGATTAACTTAAAAATTATAATTATAGGAATTACAACTTTAAATATTGACCTTAATGTTGGCCTACAATCTATCACAGTGATTAGTCATACTAGATAATGATATTATTATTATTACTATTATTAATTAAATCTGTTAGAAGCATGATAATGTAATGACATGTGTAGTTATTGAGTTTCAAAATTAAAAAAAAATCTATTTCTAAATCTGAGATCAGCTGTTTTCTAGATATGTGACTCCGGCAAATTTCAAGCATTCTTATTCTCAATTTTCTCATCTAAGACATGAGAATTCTGAGTAAATGGGCTATTCTTCAGATTAAATAGCCATGATCAGAGTTTCCTGAACAAATTACTAAGTATTTAACATGTTATCTCTTCTGCTTTTATTTTGCTGCATTAATAATACAGGTTACATGGTTGAAAGGTAGAACTGAAACAGAATTCCCTCCCTCTAATAGCAGCGTTATCTATGAAGCTACATTCTTCTTTAATAACTATGTAGGCAGGAATTTCTTAGTAATATTCAACGTTGGCAAAAATAAACAGTAGAAGAAAATAAAATTGAAAATCAGAGGCTGTTTTTTAAAATTAAGTTTTGAGTTCCTAGACCTAATGAAATTTTTATTTCTAACTAAATTTAAAGCCTGTCTGAAAAGAATGATTTGTTCTAGACTCATTCTATAAGCTTGCTATTATTTACTATTGTTTCAGAAGATTAATAGGACACTCAGATGACATCTTTGTTTTGTTATACACCAGAGTGGGAATTTTTCTGGAAGCTTAAGAGGAAAATAGAGTTGTTTTTCATCCCCACTACAAAATCTGAAGCACTAGACGTTCGTTAGTCACCTTTCTTCTTGTGCCTTTAATCTACCAACAAGCATTCTATGACATATTTTTTTTAATCATATCAAGAACGAGGCTTTATTCAGAGCAGTGTAGGGTAGTGGCTAAAAGCATGTGCAGTGAGTCAGATTCCTGGAGGCCAAATGCCAGTGTGGGGAGCTATAGGGTCTCTGGGTCTTGGTAGCCCTCCTGACTGTAAATTTGCACCAGTCACACCATCTTTGCCATGATATATACTGTGAAGATTAAATGAGGTGATTCATGCATAGAACCTCACACATTAACCTCTCAATGATCTCTGTCTATTGCACTTAGTGGTCAGCTAACCCTTTACACCATGTGTTGTTCTGTGAAGTGTAATGATGCAAGGTTTGCTGTTGAACTTGGTTTAAGTAGGGGATGAAAGAGAGGGATGGGAAGAGAGGGGAGTTAAGGTTTGTGGTCGGCATATGTAGATATGTCAAACAGAAATCCCTTCACAGAACTAACTGATGCTAATAAAATGTGGGGAAAGAGATTGACATTTTAAAAGTTAAAGAACAAGCTGAGTATAGTGACACAGACCTATAATCTCAGCACTTGGAGGGCTGAGGAAGGGTCACAATGAATTCTAGTTCTGCCTGTGCTAGAGAGTAAAACCCTATCTCTCTGTCTGTCTGTCTGTCTTATAAGCAGAATATATCCAAGGGATGATAATTGTTGAGGGCTAAATGTAGCTTCTTTTTCTTTGTTTGGCTAGTTGGCTTATGTTTTCTTTTTCTTTTTTTTGGTACAGTTCAATATGGATCAGGTTAATGTTGAAGAATTCTATGAAGTTTATAAAGGAGTAGTAACTGATTATAATGTAAGTATTGTCATAAATTGAAAAATCATAGTACTGAAAACAATTTTTTGTGTTTCAGATCCTTGGAATTTCAGTATAATTTATAATCATTCAAAGTATTCAATATAAAGCATAAGGTAAGTATCCCTTAAAGTATGATTTGCAAATTGTATATCTGATAAGAGGTTAATATTTAAAATATATAAGAAAATCAGAAAAAGGAATTGCAAAGTAAAAAAAATAAGAGGGTTTATAAATGGGCAAAGAGCTGGATGTGGTGGCAAGTGTCTGACCTCAGGCTGAGTGAAAGGTCCAAAGCTCAGTGAACCCACAAAAACAAGCTCGGGAGAAACAGACCCTACACTCTGCTGGTAGGGGTAGAAATTACTATAGCTGTTTTAGAAAGCAGAGTGAGAATTTCTTAAAAAAACAAAAACTAGAATTTCCATACATAATCCACAATTCCATTTCTAGGTATGCGTGTGTATGTGTGTGTATGTGTAATACATATTTCTAGGTATGTACACACTCAAATTGAAATCAGAATGTGGAAACTTACCTGCATGCTGTGTTTATTTCAACATTATTCACAAGAGCCAAGGTATAGAAGCAACTTAGGTGTACATTGCTGGATGACAGTTTCTTGTTTTTACAAGATACATTGAATATATATGATATACTGTAACCATCAGTGATAAAACATCCATAGAGCTTATATTCTGGTGAGGATGAACATAACTGAATCAAATGATCCCATACCCAGAATGGGATCAGTAAATGAGTATAGGTCAGTAAATGAGTACAAAGGAAACAAACATGTTTTCTTTCTTTTTCAAAAAGTTTCTCCTTACCAGGTTGTTTGTTAAGCCTTCAGATTTCCATTACTACTTCTCACCCCTCCATAGTCCCGTGTGCCTTTTCATTCAACACCTTTTAGAGCAAATGAGTATATTTTGTATAAAGTCATCTAGACAGATGCTAAAAGGCAGGGAGAATTCCTGCCATTTATTTATTTATTTATTTATCATAATGGAGGATGTATTATCTTACCGCAACCTGTTCTCACGAAAAAATTGCAAAACAAAACCCTACCAAAAAACCTTATTTCTTAATTAAAACTTAGGATGACTTAATTTTTTTGGATCAACTTTTAAAAATCTTTTTTAATAAATATATATTTTTATTGTAAAAATACTGTACAGAGGGGTTACAGTTACATGAGCAAGGTAATGAGTCCATTTCCTATTGAGCATTGTTACACCCTCCTTTATTTTTCCCCTAACATCTCTTTCTTCCTTATCTCCCCATCTCCTCTCTCCCTCCCTTCCCCCAACCCCCTGCCCTGCAAAGTTGTGAAGTTCATTTTCAACATAGTGTCTTGTATATCTCATTGTTACAACAGGTCAACCTGTATCCTTATTTCAGCATTTTATTTCCCTTCCCCTCCCCAAATTAGAAAAATGTATATACAAGATGCAGGACACCGGAATCAAATACACTGACAACAGGGGTTGTACCATGGGGGAAGAACATACAAAGAAACCAAAAACAATTACATAGTAGATTAAAAGTACATTAAAAAGAACAGCAACAAAGATAAAACCTCATGTGTCCTTATCTTGGGGTTCATTTTGCTTAGCATCAAGTTATATGATCATATATACATAGCTTTTGACATCTTCTGCTTGACTCAGACATATACTAGTTATTGCAGATAAGGGAAACCATGGGACCTATGTTTCTTTGGGTCTGGCTTACTTCACTTAATATAATTTTTTCCAGGTCTTTCCATTTCCTAACAAATGGGGCAGTGTCATTCTTTCTGATGGAGGCATAGAATTCCATTATATATATATATATATTGCATTTTCTTGATCCATTCATCTACTGAGGGGCATCTGGGTTGGTTCCATATCTTAGCTATGGTGAATAGTGCTGCAATAAACATGGTTGTGCTTAGTATGGCTTTGTGATCGTTTGGGCAAATGCCTAAAAGTGGGATTGCTGGGTCATAGGGGAGGATTAATATCATGAAAATGGCAATACTTCCAAAGGCTATCTACAAATTCAATGCGATACCTGCCAGTATCCCAACCTCATTCTTCAAGGAAATAGAAAAAGTAGTCCAAAAATTCATGTGGATCAACTTTCAAAGAAACATACGTTGGATGGAGTTCTTTGCTCAACATGTTTTTCTTTCCACTTTATACATTTTGAACAGCCTTTCCATCTATTTTTGATGTCATCTGTTATCACATTGAAAGTGAGTGAGGGGATAGAGAGATAGAGATAGATACAAAAGAGAAGAAAGGAAGAGAAAATGAAAGAAGATGGGAAGATGGGAAGAAAACAGGAAAAGTAGAGGAATTAATTTTTTGGTGGAGGGGACATTTTATGCGTTCCTCTCCTATAAAGAGTCGGGCCCTCTAGGCTTCTATGTCAGTGTACTTCACTATCATGAAGACTGAAAATCAGAGTCTTCGGATCTGGGCACCTCCCATCCTGTCTTTCTGTTACTCTGTCCTGAAAATTCTATTTACACTGGCCTCACTCTACTTCATCCCTGTGTCTTTAGTGCAGTGACAGTGTTGGACTCTCTGGTGTGTCCGTCTCTTCTTCCTCTCTGGGAATTGTTTGCCGGCAATAAAGTGGACCAATCATTTGCTCGTCTCATTTCCCCCTCTCCCAGGAGTTGCAGTACATGCCTCCTGTCATCCAGTCCAAAAACTTGCTTTGTGTATTTTGTTTAGTTTCTAGGACCAAGTGAAATATACTAAAAGATAATTTCAGACAATGGAAATATGAGGTGGTGAAGTATTCCATTAAAATGATAGGGATGGAGATGAAGGACTATATCTAAAAGAATTTTTTCAGGAAAAGTGGACATAATTTGGAAACTGCTCAGTGTATGGGATACAGGTGGGAAGAAGTCAGAGATCTTTAGCACTTGGAGATTAGTGGGATGGTAACACAACAAAAAGAGGAGGAGTAAAATATTACCAAATTTTACTGATTCTCTTGTGTTCCTTTATAATAACGTGTCATAGGAGATGGTGACAGAAATGTATTCTGGCCCTTGTGTGGCTCTGGAGATTCAGCAGAGTAACCCTGCCAAGACGTTTCGAGAGTTCTGCGGGCCTGCCGACCCTGTAAGTTACTCTCAATGACTGGTCTAGTCTGTGTTATTCACTAGCTACATGTTTGGATATGTTTATTCTAGTGTTCTTAAAATAAATGACAACACCAAATGAATATACAAAATCTGTTCAAAATGGTACTTTACAAGAGGAAATCATCTCTATCATCCTAGTTACCAAGTAGAATGGACAAAAGCATTTATTGTGGCCCTTCTTTCTTTCTTTACTTTTGCTAAATTTTGTAAATAAATTTTGCAAGCTTTTCATAGAAATCCTCTAAGGTGTTATACTTTGACCGAGAGAGGATGTAAATAGAGCTTTAAATGTGAAGACCATCACAATGGTGGAATCATACCTGATATATAAATGAATACAAGCAGTGGAATTTATTTGTTGTCAGTGGTCTAAATTCTTAGATCTACCTGCATTCCACATTGTCTTACAGAGCAAGATACAGATACTGACCAAATGTTGACAGTTCAGTTGAAGGAGCAATCAATATGATCTGACTTTGTGACATCTAACTTTATTAGAGAAAGAGATACATGTCAGACACTGGTGGCTCATGCCTATATCATTAGAATCAGGCTGAGATCTGGCAGGTCTCGATTCACAGACACTCCAGGCATAATAGTATGTTAGACCCTACCTCCAATTAACCAGCCAAAAGCAAGGCTAGATTAAAAAATAACAGCAACATTTACCCTGTGTCGTATATACCTTTATCTGATCTCGGGAAGGGAAGGGGAATAACAAAATGGTGAGACAAAGAGCAAAGTGTGAACTAACTCAGCATCAAAATCACAAGACACTCAGTTGGAAATGAACTTCACAACTTGCGGGGGAGGGAAGTTGGGGGTGGGAGAAGTGGGAGAAAAACTAGGGAAGGGGTAACAATGTTCAACAAGAAACAAATTCATTACCTTACCTATGTAACTGTAACCCTCTGTACATCACCTTTACAATAAAATAAAATAAAATTTTTGATAAAAAAGCAAGGTTAGAAGCATGGCTCCAGTGGTAGAGCATCAGCTTTAGGCAAGAAAGCTTAGGAACAGTGTGCTAGTAGTATGTACGAAGCTCACGGCTAGATTCTGTGGCTTGGTACAATGAGACAAGCAAGTTAGCATTTCTCTCTCTCTTTTTCTCTTTCTCCCTGTTCTTCTCTTTCTCCTTCTCTGCCTCTCTCCCTTCCTCTTCCTTTCTATTATTTTGCCTCCCTACCTTTAGAAAGTGGTATTGAATGTTTTCTACATATTAGCTATTATACTAGGTGATAATAAGTTTATTATTAGTAATCAGCCAAATAAGGTTTTTTTTCCTTTGAAGAACTTACAGGCAAGATATAGCAAAAGGTAGAACTGCTAATTAGGGCTGGGAAGGTGGCTCAGTGGTAGAGCGCTTGCCTTGCATGCCTGAGGCCCTGGGTTCGATTCCTCAGCACCACATAAGCAAAAAGCCGGAAGTGGCTCTGTGGCTCAAGTGATAGAGCGCTTGCCTTGAGCTGAAGAGCTGAGGGACAGCGCCCAGGCCCAGAGTTCAGGCCCACGACCGGACCAAAAAAAAAAAAAACCTGCTAATTAATAGGAATCTCAGTTTAAATTAATCTACATATTATACTATACTGAGATAATTTAGAAATTCATGTTTTCACTGCCTTGTCATTCCCACATCTAAAGAAAGACCCTAGGTCACAATCTACATCCGTATAATTAATGTTTGGAAAACCACCAGGTACATATTGGTCACCCAATTAATATTTGGTGAATTAATGAATAGGCCAGCTCTGTATTTAGGTAGACCTAACAATGTCATTAACTCCTTGCTTAATTGTATTTTACAAAGCAAAGCTCATCCTCCTTCTGGCTGTCAAAATTCATCTTTTGTTTGGCTCACAGTTCTAGGGTTCTGGTCTGAGATCAGGTGGCCCTATTGCTTTGAGCCTCTGGTGAAGACACTAGGTAGCAGTAATGGGCGGTGTCAGCATAAAACACTGAAATCATAAGCCAGGACTAAGAAATGTGAGTCCTACAGTCTCCTTTACAGACATACCTCAGTGATCCAAAGATCTTTCCAGAAGACTTACTCCTCCCAGGTCCACAGCACCTCTATTACTTCTACCCTGGGGCCAGTGCTTTGATACTGGGGTTTGGGGGAATACTGTCTATTTCAAACCATAGAACAGAAATGTTAAGCGACAAACAGAACAGCACCAGCAGCAGCAGCAACAACTTTTTGTGTATATATGCATACCTTCTAGTAGTGCAGATTTCAAAAAGTCTCCTTCATGAATTAAACTTCCAGAGATTCTCTATACTATAAACTTAGAGAATAAATTCGAAGTTTCACTTTAAGGGATTTTTGCCTTATACCTCCTTTCTTGTTGAATTAGAATTTAATTTTCTTTCAAACAAAGTTATCAAATGCATAGTGGGTGTGGAGTATTAGGGGTGAGCATGATAGACTAATTAGCTCAGTCCATGTGGAATGTGTACTCTAGTAAGGAATATGGTCATTAGATAATTACATAAATATGCCTACATGGTAACTATGTTGACTGCTTTAAAGAAGTGTGATCACTGTGTAAGGGCTTATCCTCAGAGCCTTTAGCTAAATTTCTCAATTTCTCAATGGGGGAGGGGTTTCCAAATGATTCTCATTTATTCTAAATTCTGAAGGTTTAAAAATATCTATGTGACAAAAAAAATATCTATGTGAGACTGTGAGAACCTAGCATATTTTAGGAACTGAGAGAAATCCAGTTTGACTCTGATGTTGAGTGCAAAGAGGAGAATAGACTGTAATGCAGTTGAAGAAATTATTTAGGCCAAAGTAGATCACAGTAACCAGTCTGTATTTACTGTAAGTTCAGTGAAAACTCCATGGGAAAGTTTACGTGGATATTGATGTAGCCAAATTTTTATTTTAGAAGAGTGCTAGAGCTGTATGGCAAACTGATAATTGATTGAGATGATGGGACTTTTGTGAAGACAGCTATCAGAACTTATGGGTAATTTAGATGTGGAAATGAGTGATGAGATAGTTATCTAATCTGGATGAAGAAATTCTTGAAGAAATCACTATATTTTGGAATAGTCTAAATTTTGTTGTTTAAATGTCTTTTTCCTAAGCTATTGGTTTAAATTTTATGTACATATAAGTTGTTTTACTCTCAAAAGCAGGAAATAGAGATACCAGAAATGCATTCAGACTATTTCTTAAGTACTTGTCAGCTTTCAGTAAATTGGAAAACACCTTGGTGTTGAAAGAAGGGTTCTTGGATGTGTCATTTTGTTTTGTTCTTAAAGTAATACTCTGTTTTGTTTTGTTCTTAGAGTAATACTCTGCACCTTCCATTTTAATTTCATAGATTTTTAACTAAAATTTTATTTTTAAAAAGTGCTCTATTTCTACCTTGCTGGAACCAACAGATGTTGCTTTCTTGTTCTGCTTTTGGAAATTCTGAAGTGGGTAGAGTTAGCTAATTACAATCCATATGGAATACGAATAAAGTTCTTTAAAACCTTACAGCATTGAAATCCACCTAACATATCTTTTTCAAACCTTTCACTGTATAAGTGTCTTTTTATTACTTTTTTATTATTATTTTTATTGTCAAGGTGATATACAGAGGGGTTACAATTATAGAAATAAGGTAATAAGTACATTTCTTGTCAAACTTGTTACCCCCCTCTCATTTTTTCTCCCTCTTTCCCTCCTCTTTCATCTTCACTCCCCCCCCCCCAAGTTGTAAAGTTCATGTTCAACATATTGCCTTGTGAGTGTCACTGGTGCATTGGTTCCCCTTTGTCCTTTGTCTCACTATTTTGTTGTTCCCCTTCCCTTCCCTAGTTCAGATAAATGTACATACAATACCAGGATACCAAAATCAAACACAGTGACAACAGGGATAAACCATAGGGGGAAGAGCACACAAAAGAAACAAGAAATCACATAGTACATTAAAAACAACAAGAACAAAGTAAAACCTCTTGTGTCCATATCTTGGAGTTCATTTTGCTTAGTGTCATCTTATATGGTCATATGTATATAGCTATTGAGATATTCTGTGGAATATTTAGTCAGGGCATAGGAGGAGGATTGGGGTGGGCTCTGAGTAGATCAGATTGTGTATTAATGGAAATCTCACAGGCAAGCTCTTTACAGTCTAGAAGTTGGCTGGCCTTGGGAGGGATAAGCAAAGATGTGAACCACTGCCTCTGGCCTTTGCTCTGTGTGTGTGTGTGTGTGTGTGTGTGTGTGTGTGTGTTCACGCGCATGCGTGCACCTTGGCAGTACTGGGCTTGAATTCAGGGCCTTCTGTTCTCTTTCACTCGAGATAGGTGCTCTACCACTTGAGTCATACCTCTACTTTTTGCTGATTAATTGGAGATAAGAGTCTCATAAACTTTTCTGCCTGGACTGGCTTCAAACCATGATCCTCAGATCTTAGCCTCCTAAATATCTAGGGTTACAGACATCACCCACTAGGCACTTTCCTTTGCCCAGTCTTTGATAGGCTTATTTTTGTTTTTGTTGTTCTCCTGCTTTTGATATCATATGTAAGACTCTCTTATCGTATCTAAGATCATCAACTTCTTACTGGTGTGTTGTTCTGAGAGTTTAGAGATTTAGTTTCTTACTTTAGGTCTTGGATCCAGTTCAGTTATTTTTGTATAGTGTGAGGTATGGGTTGAACTTCATTTTTTGGCAGGTGCCTATATAGATGCCATTTGTTGAGAAAACTTTTCTTTCTCTATTGGATGGTAATAGCACCCTTCATAACCTATATATGATGTATAGGTTATTCTCAACTCTGTTCTATTCTGTTGATACATTATTGTTCCAGGTAAATATTTAAATTTGAAATACTTATTTTTGGTCTTGTTTTTCTTTTAAAGAGTCTTGACATCCAAGAAGATAATTTTTGTTTTGCTTTTTAAATGTGTATAATTTTTTTAGGCATGATGGTAAAGCGAATTATATCTCAGAAATAATGATTCATTCATCAT